CTCCTCTGACCAGACAAAACCAGCAGTTCAATTCCAGGCTGCAGCAAAGTCTCATTGTGCAGAGGACTCATCTGGTTCCTGTGTGTGTGTGTGTGTGTGTGTGTGCATGCATATGCATGTTCATGAGTGTTTATGTGTGCATGTGATGAGTGTTCATGAGTATTCATGTGATTTTGCGATCGACACCCCCCCCCATTCAATGTGATTTGCAATGTGTGTGCATGCATATGCGCTCGCGTGTTTGTGTGTGCATGCATACGCGCGCATACGTGTGAGTGCATGGATATGTGTGTGCGTGTGTGTGTAGAATCCCATCATACAATTTCATTAGCTTGACACGAGGGCCTTTAATTAAGCAGTGAAATGGGGAAGGAGCAGCAGCGGCTCATTTGAATCATTCTGCTGCGCGTCTCTAATGGAAGCTGACACGCAATAAATTTCCACAGCCTCTTAGAGCCGCGCTGAAGCTAATGCAAAGAGACGCTGCAGCCAATGAGAGAAAGACACGCGCGGGTTAAGCTGCTCGCACAGACATCTGGAGAAAATCACGCCAATATGAGACAAAGAATCAGAGGAGTGCATGATGGGAATGGATCGGAGCGAGTGGGAGAATGCAGCAGGTCTGAGCAGCATGTTAAGAAGCTCGCGTTCGTCTCGTTGTCTCTCTTAAAGAGAGCTGCACCTCCCTATTTTACATCAGCTATAAACCAGTGCTCAGCTGATGGGATTTTTAACGACTGATGCTGATTTCAGCACTGCAGGCTTTACTAACATTACAGGACAGAGAAATTCACAAAATTAATTATTACATCAGGCTTATAAATTAAAATATAAAATAAAATAAAAAATATATAATATATTTTAGTGTATTCCTCATTTGTAAGTCACTTTAGACAAAAGCATCTCCTAAATGCTAAAATAAATTAATAAAATAAAATAAAGTAAAATGTGTCCATCCACGTCTCTGCATCCCGTGACACATCTGAATCTGCAGGACGACATCGACAGGCTCCAATCAAACAATTCAAGCTGGGTGATGCTGATAAGAGCCGGCGATTGAATCTTTGAGAATTACTGCAAACATAATCCTGAGGTTAACACATAAATCAATAGCCTGATGTTAGACGGCTAATGAGAAGGGCTGCTGGGAAATATGACCCGCTTTATGATTCAAATACCGCTGCTGCATTGAGCTGCTGCTAAAACAGTTTGCCTTCGGGCTGTAGACAGGTGGCGAGAGACGAACGAACACGCCTTTAACATCAAAAAACTGAAGCTTCTTATTTTATTTTATTTTATCAAATTTTTTAAAAACATTTTATGTTATGCTATATGTTATTAATATTTTATTGAAATAGAGTTAACTCAACTCTAACTTAGTTAACTCATTAAATGAAACAACAAAATCAGCAAAACTTTAACTAAAATGGAAAATATAAAAATAAAACCTCATTTAAAATATTAATTAAAAAACTATAATAGTATATAAATAATCTGGGTAAAGTAAAATTAAAACTATAACCATAAAAAAACATTTTCATTACTTGAAATAAAAATGTAAAGAAATTTATTTCAGCTATTTTTTATTTTCATTTAGTTTAACTTGATGCACTAAAATAACTAGAACTGAAATAAAATTAATAAAAACAACTATATAGCCAATGAAAATAACAAAAACAAAGCAGAAAATATAAAAATACAAACTAATTCATTAAAAAAAAACGTAAAAAAAAAAAAACTCAGCAAGATTTTGTAACTCTACAACTACAAAATAAATAAAGATATCAATTTATGAAGGTGCTGTAAAATAATTATTGTATATTCTATTGTAATTCTACTATCTAGTGTTTTTATTTCTATTCATTTTTCATCTTTTGAAACCAAACTCACAAACTTGTGGCTCACAGAAAATTCAGTCTCCCTCTCGTGATTATGGCTGTGTGGGGATTAATGTGCGGCTGGTTAGCAGTAGAGTTGACTAGAGTTGACTAGTCTTACCGTCTGAGAGCGTGGTGATGAGCGTGTCTATGTCGGAGAGGCCGGGACCGTGTCGATTGACCGCCAGCACTTGTAACGAATACTCCGTGAACTTCTTCAGGCCCTCCATCCTATAGCTCTGACCCACGACCTCCACGTTCTGGAGAAACACCGTGGTCAGAAAACAACATGCTAATGAGCCTTCAGTAAGCCCCGCCTTACAGACATCACCGACCAATCACAGCACTCGGCCGTCAGCAGCTGTACCAATCCAGCATGCTTTTTGAAACAGGTCAGACTTCTGACATAATACTAACAAACAGACTTTTTATAATAGCATACTAACCAGGTTACTCTCACCTGCTCTTTTCCGGTGGAGGTCTCAGTCCACAGCAGCCGGTAGCTCTGGACCGGGCCGCTGGTGTGAGACGGAGGATCCCAGGACGCCTGGATGGACGACGCAGACGCAGCTTCTGCCCGCAGGTTCTCCACTGGACCAGGAACCAGAACTAATGAACGATCACATCACCGTCGACACATGAGAAACACAGGCTCTTCATGGGTCTGAATGCACTGCAGAAACGTCGTGTTTGTGCTGATTTCAATATTTGAGTGAGAGTTTATTTCTATTTTTATATTTCGTTTGATTTTGCTGATATCAGTATCCATTGTGTTCATCTATGCTTTGTTACAGTGAACACCTTTTGTGCTTGAAAACAAACAAACTTGGGGAAAAAAATAGTAAAAAAAAAATTAAATTAAACTAACTAAAATTAAAATAAAAACTAAAAATATTAAAATAAAAGCTAATTTAAACATTAATAAAATTAATTTACTTTTTAAAACTACTATAAAAAGTTTTAGTATTTTTTGTTGGGTGTTTTTGTAAATTTTTTAATATTTATTTTCTTTTAAATATGCCTATATAGTTTTTAAGTTTTAGCTTAGTTTTATTTATTTTAGAACTTCAACTTAAACTAGTTTTTTTTTTTTTTTTGATTAGTAATTTTTTAATGGTTTTATCTATGCTTTGTTACAGTGAACATCTTTTGCACTTAAAAACAAACAAACTTCGGGGAGAAACTATGAAATAATAAATAATAATAAATATTTATTAAAACATTTTAAATCTAAAATATCTATTATTTCACAGACAAAAAAAAACCCTAATAAAAAAAAACTATTTTTAAAACTATGATTTTTTAAAAACTACTATAAAAAGTTTTGTTTTTGTTTTTTTGTTGGGTGTTTTTATCATTTTTATTTTATATTTATTTTCTTTTAAATATGCCTATATAGTTTTTAAGTTGTAGCTTTTCTGTTTATTTATTTTTATTTATTTTTGAACTTCAACTAAAACTAAACAACAATGAGAAATTTTGACATTAAGTTTATGTTTTTTAAATTTTTAGTAAATAAATTTTTTTTTGATGAGTGGTGATTTTTTAATGGTTTCAGTTAAGGATAATAATCCTGGATCAGACACTGGAACACATGAGATAACTGATCAGCAGCTCGCACAGAAACACGTCCGTATGCAGATGAGCTCTACATTTACATCATATTCATATTTCAGAGATGAAGTGTGTTTGTCTTTCAGGCTGTTTGTGAGGAAGAGCCGGAATCTGGATGGAAAAGGTCAGACGGCTCGACAGCACTCACTGTCCAATAGAAAGGTTAAAGAACTCCAGTGTGTGAGAGAGTGTGTGCGTGTGAGTGTGTGTGTGTGTGTGTGTGAGTGTGAGTGTGTGTGTGTGTGCGCGTGAGTGTGTGTGCGTGTGTGAGTGTGTGTGTGTGTGCGTGTGTGTGCGTGTGAGTGCGTGTGCGCGTGTGTGTGCGTGAGTGTGTGTTTTTGCGCATTTGAGTGTGTGTGTGTGTGTGATAATATAATGAAATCTCTCACACTGCTCCTCTGTGTGACTTCAGGAGGAAACTAGAGCATTATGGGATGTTTCAAACATCTGCACAGCACTGCTGACATTTACAGAGATCTGCTGCATCGTCACAATCACCAAACACAGTTAGCTTCCATTGCTCTCAGTGTGACTGATGTCAGATATCAGATGTTCTGCTGTATATTTCAAGTTGAGAGGCGGCGACTCTTACGCTCGGGTTGCGTGGACAGTGTTCGCTTTCACACTGCCCGTTTTGTATGGGATTACATTTCTGCCGCAATTCTGCACGTGAAAGATCATATTTTGAGCGCGGAAAAGTGCGTTTTGCACGCGCGCGAACTGAGTTTTGTGGAGAAAATGTTTGTTTCGCAAAGAAGAAAGTATTTCGAACGCATGAAAATCAATTTTTTATTTAAAATAAGTTTTTGGATGTGTGCAGACCTCTTTTGCGCGTGCAACATTTCACTAGCTTGCTCACCTGATGCCCACCCTCTGTGCTCGCTAAATGCCAACAGCTCGCGTGCTCAACACAACCTCGCCTTTTACGGCGACACCATTGCGCTGCAAAGATGTACCAGGAGAAGTGCGATTATTAGACGACCGATTGTCATTTCCTACTGAAGGTTCTTCAGGCTAAAGTCCTGAGGGACCTGCACAAGGATGGTCACGATCCGGAAGTTCTGAAAGAGCTCCGAACCTCAACTGACCTCGCGTTCCGAGCAACTAAGGTCACTGCGAGTTCTCTGGGTCGTGCGATGTCCACACTTGTGGTCCAGGAGCATCACCTCTGGCTGTGTCCGGTCAACATGACGGACG